AATTACAACCTACTAACCCACAAAACATCCACCTCACCGAAGCTAAAAGCAAGAAAGCAGAGGGGATTTCCTCGTCCACTGCAGGAGTAAACCGAACAACTGGAACCAAGCCCTAAGAACTAGACGCGAGAGATCAAAAACTACTAGTTTTCTACGCTCGCACTATCAATATTGGATATTGGATATTGGGCGGAGTAATCAAGTGTAATGTTACTTCATTTAGGCCTTGAAGGTGTCACATGTTCTGTGCCAGTGCAAGCTTGAGTTTTATTATCAAATACGTTTTCAGGTTTGACCAAGTTTATATTGTGGTTAGTGTTCATCTGCTTATACTTGTTTAATGTTTCGCGAAAATCCTTTGAATAACATCATGCTGGTGTTATGAAGACAGTTTGCCAGCTTCACCGCTGCTGGCATTTATTAGTAAGGTTCAGCATTCGTTGTCCGAATGTCAGCTTTGTAGAGGATAAATCTAGAAATTTAATGAAGGGGACTAACTATTTTCTCATTACGAAGGAATTTTATCTGAATGTTCCGTGTCGAATCGTCTCATTTTCAACTTGAAACCTGTGTACTTATAAATCTGTCACTAGTTTAGGTTGTATATTCCTGGGATTTTAAGAACAAAATCACTTCATATCTGTCAGTGCTTCAAATTCGGTGGTCTACGTTTGGACGTAGGACAAGGAATAGCCTTAACCTTATCTGTGTTGTAAGCTTCCGTATGATAAATGAGACTGTTTTCGGATACCAAACATAGGTTTTTGCACATGTGTTATTATATTTTGACCAGAAGTGTTTCATATGAATGACGATAATGTGGTTGTCTTCACTTCCCACATTGCTGGTACTTTCAGTAAGATGCGAAGGCTAGTAGATCGACATGGAGCTAGTATTCAAGCAGCAAACGAAGGTAATAATAAAAGTGGTGTATCCATTTGTTTATCACTTGATATTTTGACATCTCAGGTTTCTCTCATTTCTTTTGGAAAACCTCACTATTGGTGCTGACATATATTAGCGCTACACCATATCCAGCCCGTCTTCACAAAGTGGGACTAAAAGTTGTAAGACTTATTATTAAACGTGAAATCACCTAATTATCTCCCCACATCGATGGTAGCGTTAGTTGATTAGTCTGCAGCATCTTTTTGGGGTCTGTTTTCAGTTTGTGCATGAGTATAATTATCCTGTGAATTGCCTACCATCATTAAATACTCTTCGGCACTTGCTGCCACTACTAGTAACAGCTTTTGACTTGAAGATGTAGTGGGTAGGTTGACTAAAGTGACTGCATTTATTATTCTCTAACTTATTTCAAAAATTGTCTAGGTACGATCGTTCCAGAAATTTAGCTCGGCATGTAAATGTGAGTACATGACTGAATCTTCGGAAGTGATATACAAGGTCCTGGCATCATTTCTTAGCCATGTTTCGTAGTTATACATAAGTGCGTAGCTGGCTGCTGTGCATCGCGTTGATTCCCCAATCGGTAATCACATATTTTTTTAGTGTTCTAATTAACGTCAGGTGACCAAAGGCAATCGAGCTTGTTTTATCCGCTCTGAGATTCTTATATCCACTGGCCCACTGTTGCTCATGCGACTTTCTAAGAAAGTCAGGTGGTCAACGCTCCATTTATTTAACTCCATATTGTTGGTTAACGTACTGTCAAACCGAGTAACGATCTGCATTTTGCTGGTAAAAATACATTTCAAACATTCTCCAAACATCACTCTAGGACACTCAAGACATTCGTAACAATTATGGCCTAGATGTTTATAATCATTCTAGGAATTCGTAACGCCACACTTTGTCAGCGTTCCGCTTAAAAAGACCACGTTGTGTTCATGGCCTAGATCTACTGAGGAGACCCCGGCAACTAAGTCAGTTTTTCAATTAAACGATATCTAAGAGGAAAAGATGGTGAAATTCCTTATGAAAACCACTTACTGTATGCAAATCACTTGGTGTCTCACCACAGCTGAGGCCCGGTTAGTGCTTGGCGACCTGTCAAAGGATGAGTGTACTGAGCAACGTTACTAATAAATTTTAAAAGTGGAATATATGAAGAAAATACAAGTTTGTGATCATGGGTATTTTCTGATTGTTGAACGTATGTGGTGGAATCCCTGTGAGTGAAGTCGAGGTTAGACTCCGTATACTGAGCCACAAAGGCAAGTCACTTAATGCAGTTGAGAAGCTTCATCAGCTAGGATGATTCAAATATGTAACGCATACTGGGCCTCTGTCTACCACAATGCATGCTGGTAGCCGAAAAAAATACTGTCGAGGTGATGGGAACCGTTAGTTCGCATACCTTACTGATATGGCTCATGATTGATCGCAATGGTGCTGATATATACACTCCTTGATTGATTTAGAATCTCGGGCACTTTTATTAGACCTTGTACTTATCCTCTCTACTCGTGGAAACTTCCGTCTCTTCTAATGTCATTCTCCTATCCACTTTTTTGTATGCCGCTATGAACCGTGGCAACTAGTACCGATGCAGCTCTGTTTCAAAATCTACGTTGATTTACCGGTCAGTATAGGCTCCAACACAGATTTTTAAAAGGTGCGATGCACTTGCTTCGGCATCGGTTTCGGTGGAAGACTGCCGTAATATCTCCCGACTGATGGAGTCAAATAATGCTTTCAGGTCACAAAATACAGGTAGTGTTGGGAGGTGGTAATCGTGTCTGTATTCCAAGATCTGGTGGAGGGTGTAGACCAAATCTATATACCACACCCATAGTAGGCATCTGCCTGTTTTTCTCACCTTTTCTGAAGACCAACTTAGGTTACGTACCAAATAATCATAAAACCTAGAATTATAATTAATACCATCGTCCAACTATTTACTTCGGGGTAATCACCAGAGAATTTTTATCCTTTCCTAAAGATTCTAACTGTCAGCGATTAAAACTACCTCATCGTCATATCGAATTCCCACATACCAGCTAGCGTCTAACAGTTTAACCAAATGATCCTGAGCCAGTCCTTAAGTAACTGTAATACTAGCCGATCATTAATTCAGGTTACCTATAAAATTCTCAACATCATAAAGACTCAGAGGCCCCATCTCCATGTTCCATTCATAATGCAACTGGCTAGCGGGTAACCGAAGAGTAGCTCGAGGCCACTTTAAATGTTCTCCGAAGAAGTCTTCCGCCCATCATTACCATCGTCGTTCATCACTACTGACTCACTAACTATCCACTTCTTTGCCCATGTTCCTTTGATAAGTCTAAATAACTGTCTACTGCTACCACATATAGCCGCTGCCTCCTCCATCTCTCTAGCCTTTTACTGCCCACCATCAACTACTGTAGTCACTACGTAGGCTCTTTTTCAGTCAATATTTGAGTTGCTTCCGCTCTTCATTGTGCTCGCAGCCTGCACGAATGCGTTCACGTGAATCCGTTAGTTCGGAAGTTGTTGAGATCCACTGGCCCTTCCTAATCTTTTCCTCACGGTCAGTTACGGTCTTCAACGCTATCTCTACAGCAGAACGCACATATCACCAGACTTCTTTAGCATGAGTCATGGTGTCTTATCCCTAGGATTCTCTAGCCTGTTCCTCATTCAAACCAGCCTAAGTATCCTCAACATCGTGCTGCCTTTACAACGGTCCTCCAGTTTTATTTTTTCGACATCCACTTCACTTACGCCTGACTCCAACGAACCCAAGTGTCATCAACATACAATCATGTGATCCAGAAGTAGTACCAATACACCACCGATACCTGATGACAATAGGGTCTATCCATCTGTGTGCACCGTTGAGTTGAGTGAGGTAAACAGACAACACGTCAAACAATGTTTCCTTCCTTTTGTGGTTGAATTCATGCCGACCAGAATATATGCATGGCTATCGGCACACTCGTAGTAGACCATCACCACTATCCTTTAGTTTAGCTGCCCTTCCGAAATTATCATCTAAATGTTCTCTGCAGATTAGACTTCCTATTTGTGCACTGAAATCACCCTCTGCGACAACCACATCTGGACGTTCACTTCTCACTGGGATGTTGCTAGACAGTTCTCCATAGAAATCATCCCTCACTTTATTCTAACACCAGTCAGTCGATGAGTAAGCAGACACTACAAACAGACAACCGTGTGCTTCACTATTCTTTTTCAGTTCTTACTGCACCATTAGGCTGTCAACTTGCATCCACTTAAGCAGTGCACTTTCCGACTTATGGGTTAACGCTACACCTACGTCTACAAGACAACAAGAACTACCTGACGAATATCTAGGACCTCGAAAGCTGAATTTCACAAGTTCACCCTATTAGTCAAGTGGCGTTAAGTGGTGGGTAATCATAACCGGGTCCGATGTACATATCTGACAAACACCATAAGCCCATGGACCAAGATGCCAGAGTTTTGCCAGCAAAATTTATTTTCCCATTTGAAAAGGACGGCAGACATTCAAAGCTCCGATACACAGTTAGGAGTTGTCTGCTCCACCACTATATATATATATATATATATATATATATATATATATATATATATATATACGAACGTACGACTTTAGTATAAATTCGTTAAAACGTCGCTTCGCTGAATATTTGTTTTTAGTAAGGGATTGCTTGGTCCATTTGACAGTTCATTGGTTTCAGGTTAGTTTCATCGTCAGCGGATATCATTTAAAGAACCATTAAAAACATGAGAGTATGGGACAGCTGTTTCGTCTTTACAGGTAACGCACGCGGTTCTACCAGTACGTTAGTTTGACTTAACACGAAATGTAATGAACTCGGAGACTTTTTGCTTCAGTCATACCTTACTTATGAAGTTTTGTGTAGTTTATGATGTTGTCTTTGTTACTGTTATTTCAGTATTCTTTTCACCATAATCTCTAGTCGTATTCACTTCTGTATTTTCAGATTTACGATTCCTGAACTAACAGAAGTTCCTGATCAGATTCGGAATACCAACGACTGATTCCTACTACTTTGTGGTTAGAAACAGTGTTTTTTTCGTAAATGAATTTCCCTTCTGTATCTAAGGTAACTGGGTCCATATTTATGGCAGGTCACTTAGTCTCGTTTACAGCTTCCTGCTGCTGGATTCGCTGTCCAAGTTGTCCAGATAGAGTTTTCTGATCACCTAGTGATTCTCATTTCACGCAGTGGGATGATTGGCGACATTGTATGAAATATATGTTTTGATGCATTTCACTAGGTATTATCGCAAAAAAGTATTCTGCCACCTATCAACGGTCATGCCTCTCACGATGTTGATGCTCGAACAATTTTTGGTCCTGAAAAGGTAAGTAATTCAATCACCTGTAAAGCCAGGTTACATTAGTAGATAACTTCAGATGTCTTGTACCATACTGAGTTAACCCGGTTTAATGCTATGTCCCACTTGACCGTGTGTTTTGTTAGTCTACGCAAGAACTTGTCATGAATTGGTGGATCCCAAGATATCACAGTTATATTAGTGATTTCACAAAATTAGCTTTGATAATTTCTACTTGTCCAACTAGAGTTTAGGCTGAGTAGTACGAGAGCTAACACGTAGTTTTCTTTAAGATGTTAAAAATTCCGAACCTAGGAGCTGCTAATCGGGAAAATAAACGGTGATGAGTATTACTTGTTTCAAGGTATTGAGCAGATGTATTACAACACGAAAGTTACTGAATGCAAACAAGCATAAGTGACTTATGGAATTATATGACAGGCAAACCACTAAGACAACGTCCTACTTTCAGAATATCAGCTCAACAATGTTTGACACGGAGTCCATCTATCTCAACTCAATGGTACTCTCAGGTATAACATATTATGGTCAAGTATTGGTGAAGAAAGTCGGTGGGAGTTTTCCATGCCTGGGGCACGTGGTTGTATGTTGATGACACTTGGGTTCGTTGGAGTCAGGCGTAAGTGAAGTGGATGTCGAAAAAATAAAACTGGAGGACCGTTGTAAAGGCAGCACGATGTTGAGGATACTTAGGCTGGTTTGAATGAGGAACAGGCTAGAGAATCCTAGGGATAAGACACCATGACTCATGCTAAAGAAGTCTGGTGATATGTGCGTTCTGCTGTAGAGATAGCGTTGAAGACCGTAACTGACCGTGAGGAAAAGATTAGGAAGGGCCAGTGGATCTCAACAACTTCCGAACTAACGGATTCACGTGAACGCATTCGTGCAGGCTGCGAGCACAATGAAGAGCGGAAGCAACTCAAATATTGACTGAAAAAGAGCCTACGTAGTGACTACAGTAGTTGATGGTGGGCAGTAAAAGGCTAGAGAGATGGAGGAGGCAGCGGCTATATGTGGTAGCAGTAGACAGTTATTTAGACTTATCAAAGGAACATGGGCAAAGAAGTGGATAGTTAGTGAGTCAGTAGTGATGAACGACGATGGTAATGATGGGCGGAAGACTTCTTCGGAGAACATTTAAAGTGGCCTCGAGCTACTCTTCGGTTACCCGCTAGCCAGTTGCATTATGAATGGAACATGGAGATGGGGCCTCTGAGTCTTGTCGAAGTTTTGGAGAAGGCTATAGTTAACGTTATTCGGGGATTGACTAGCGTGACAAGGACATTTAAAAGCAGTTGTCGAGAATTGTTAGCTAAACTGAATAGTGGTAATTAATATGTCGGGATCAGATATGATTCCACCTGACATAGATAAATGAGCGGAGAACCTGCCATGGGAGTGCATAGGTTCAAGTTGCCGCAGTTCACTGTAGCGTGTGAAGGAACTCAAAAAAGTGAATGAGACGTGAGAATAAACGGATGAAGGCGAGGAAAAGGAAATATTCAAAACTTCGGTGAAGACAGATTGTGTATACTTCAGTGCTGTTGTAACCGATCTTGAGCAATGACACCTAGAGTCTGCAACAATTTATTCCTATCATCTTGAGGACGCCAACCAGGCTGTCTTCACCTCTCTACTCAGGTGTGATTGACGGTTAAGGATTTGGTGTATTGGTACCACTATGTGTTAGTTTGACTTCTCTTGGCCTTGTTCCAACCCAATCCTACTTCGGCACCAGTTGATGAAGTCTCTTACTGTTGGCCTGAACCATGTAGGGAGATGCAGACTACCTGTTTGGAGTCTCAGGCACGAAAGGAATCAGTGATTGATGTTTCTTGGTGACAGCTGAAAATCAATCATAATGGCGCAGATATATTTATTTCTTGATATCTTCTAGAGTTTGAAAATTCGCGCTAACCTTTATCTTAAAATTGCTTACTTTCTTACACTACTCTGTCTGTTTTGGTATCAATCCTTTTCTACCCACCTGTTTTTGTTTAGTACTGTGAAGTATGGCAGCTTGAGACGATGCACTTGTGCGCGAGTTTCCACGTTTAGTCAGTCAGTCATCTTTATCTGGTTAGCAAACACTGCTGATCGATGTGAGTAGTGTAGAATTACTATGTCAGTTATTAGTGTATTTTATACGGCTTTAATAGTCATTGAGGCTGTGATTTTAACTTTTTGTTCTGACTTTTTACATAGTTATTGTCCCCATTAAGAATTGAAGAAGTGCTCATTGTCTCATCTTTTGTATTGTTCTGTTTCTTTGTATTTCCTAATTATTATTGTTTTGTTTCTATTTTGTATAGATGAACTCCTGTCTTGTCACTAGACTGATCTCTAAATCTCTGAACACCTCGAAGAATATCCTTGTTAGTACTGATTTTAAAGAAGATATTTGTTTCAGTGATACACAATTAATCTGCGATGCTCTAAAGAATTTGAAGCAACATAACAGCCATTTGATTATTTTTTAAAACTTGATCGAGAGTTAGCAAACAGTTTTCCGAGTTATTCGAATTTGTGTAAATGTGTTTATTAGGATACTGAAAATGGAATAGCTAAATGTTATGACGTATTTGTTACATGTCTAATATTTGTTTTCTGTATAGTCTCAAACCTAATGGGTTGATTCGGTCTACCGTAACTAAGGAGAAGGAGCAATGTTCGTAACTTCTTTCACAACCTGATGTACTTACTTCAAACAATTTAGCACCATATTTACTGTCTGTTGTGAAGTTTCGCGGAGTTGTGGCATAGTAGCGTAGATATTCGCTCGGCCAACCAATTCTACTTGCTTCACACACAGGCAGTCAGTAAGTGTGAATAGTTACTTCACGAAGGTTTCGTTCGTAGCCCAGTACTCTAATCTCTATGAGGCTTCAGCGTTGCTCAGTGGATTATTCTAACAATGAAATCTGTTGCATGAGTATATAGTTTTGCAGAAGGATGTACTGGTTTTCCATGGTGTAATCACTCAGTTTTGTTGCTTCATCCAAGAATCTGCATGTGGATGAGGGTTACAGTCGACTTTTTGAAACGCATATTCGTTTTTTTATTGGTTCGAAAACAAGAATAAAGTATTTGGAAAGGTTACAGTTGGACTGTTTCAAATTCCTTTAAGATTCTATGAGTGGTTGGAAGTAGTTGATGAATTATATACAAGTTTAAGGTATTCTTTATAAAACTTCCGTAAGTAGTGTCATAATCTTGGGAAAATTACGCATGAATTTACACTGGCTGTTTAACTGTTGTTTCATTATTTCTCAAATATCATGTTTCCTCAGCACTATATATATATATATATATATATATATATATATATATATATATATATATATATATCGCATTCGTTCTCTTGATGTTTAAGCTGTCAGATCAATATTTATTCAATTCACGTGAAAAAATTTTGGAGTTCTCATGGTGGATCATGTTTATGCAAAAACTTGAAAAAATTACTATAACCAGGTAGGATGTTTAAATGAATCAAAAAGAGGGAATAATTGATAAGCAGGTATCGGTAAGTGGCTTTAGTGGTTCCAAAGAATCTCAAGAGGATCTTTTGATCAGTTGAATCCTATATCACCTATGATTGCAAGCAGCGGCTCACAGTATTTCATAGACCTTTAACAAAAACCTACAGTTACCTACGGGACAAGCTGAAAGCCAATGGAGCTTTGGCTCATTGTTTTTCAACAAGTGGGTCATGGGTTCAAACACCTCTCCGCCTGCTGAAATAGTATCGTTAACCCGCACAAAATAGGTGTAGGAGGCTGATTGTGTTGTTATCGTGTAACACGTGACCAGTCTTACATTAACGAATGTGCTCAAGTACCAAACTGTTCGGCACCTTATCCACATATAAGTACTGATTACAAATGACAGATAATAAAACATGTCAGATAGCAAAAAGCGCTCAGATGAGCAGTTTATTTATCAGTATGAGGCAAACAATGTTATCGTAGGAGAAACGTATCTGTCTATGGATAGTTAGACGATAAACTGAGTGTACAGCTGTTGATCAGCACATAGAAGATGCTAAAAGTAGTGAATGTTGATGGGTGGGTCCCTACACACTAAGAAGCAACAATTAAAGAAATCCGCTGATTTAGAATGTTGATTAGCTAATATTGAGGTATTTTAAATATGTATTTATTTATTTGAAGCCTGGCGGTATTTGGTGCCGAGAAGATACACCACAGGCTTTTCCCCTCCTGTAAGGTTGTGAGAACATTGGGTATTATAGACTCTAGACGGTTACTGCTAGATGGAACTAACATTTCCGCATATTAGTGATGCCGTAGTTGACGTGTGGGTATCTGAGGCCAGTGCAACTGTCTGAACTTGTGGGGAAACAAAACTTTGGGTTCAGACTCAACCCTTCTTATAGTGATGGTAGATGGTCCGAAGCCTCAGTCTGGATTTCCTTAGTAAACCTTAACATACAGGGTGGAATGTACAAGTGGGATCAGTATAAAAGAACAGGAGGACGATTCAGTTGTTATCACTGCTATCCAACTTGTATCCGATAATTCGCATTTCGAATGGTCTGCAATGAAAAAAGTTAGTGTTTACAAAGGATGAAGGCGAAACTATGAGACGCTCATAAATATGACGTGATTGAATAGGAAGAACAATGAACGCCAAAGTAATTAAGTTGTGTGCTTTTCATATTTTTAGGATATAGAAAAAATCTGTTGTCAAAAACAAGACGAACATATCAATAAAACTGCGTTAGGGAACATTAATTAGACATGAAATCAAAAAGAAACTTGTCCAGATGTTAGATCTTTAGAGGACTAAGTTATGAGGTCTGCTAACTGTTTAAGGCAGTGCACACCTCGGCTGATACGTGTAGACGCTACTTTGTTAATGCTATCAATGATTCCCTTTTTTGAAAGAGTCGTAATCTTGTTGAACCGTTAGGTCTTCCTTTTGTTCCTGAGGCAGCGGTTAACTGATGTTTGCTAATGGAGGGAAGGTTGGATCGTCGTCAACATAAGCTGTTTTTGGGCGGTCAACGCAGGGTTTTGTCGTCCTAAACTATCGATGACGAAGGATTTCCTCTGACAACCTTATAAAGTTCATTCATCACCACAACTCACAAAAACGCGTGTGCAGTCTTGAGGTCTTTTACCTAACCATAATCATCTATGCTGTATCCATGTGGATGATAGTTGCGGACGATGTATTTGAAGGTTCATCTCAAGTAAGAAGTGACCGGCAAGAGAAACATGTCTCTGTTATTTTTGCCTATCCTCCTATGGATTGCAGCCCGGACACATCAGCTGAGTGACCTCAATCAAATGTGCTTGACAAATGTTTCAGTGCTAGGTGGGGGTGTGAATGCTCAGGTTGGGTGTCTGGTCTCAAGGGAGAGTCATTTAGGTAGCCATTGGGGACTAGTTTGACGCAGATCGGATAGTGGAGATCGTCTTCTTCAGCTTTGGGCAGATAATAACCTATTTCTAGCCAGCACTAACTTCTGGCACAGCTATCACCGTTGTGCTACTTGTCGTCATCTCTCTACAGCTCAAGCCTGAACTCAAATAGATCATATTGCAATCGGCTACCGATGTCGTGGGTGCATACAAAACTGCTGCTTCATATAGAGTACTTGTTTTGACTGTGATCACGCTTTAGTGTATGCTAAACTTGTCTTGCGTGTTGGTTGTCATCAAAATCATCATCCTAAACAGGTCGAAGGCAGCAAATTAGTTGTATTTAACATTGCAACTGAATGGCAATCCGAGTTAGATTCAAGGCTAGCTACCGATTCTGCAGAAAGTGCAGACAAGCATTGGCCTGTGTTTCGGGACGCCGTGAAATGGCGAGTAAAGCCGCCTGCGGTTTGGAAGAACGTCCCTCTAACAAACACTGGGTCTCTGCTAGCTTCCTGCAACTTCTTGGTTCCCATTGAACCATTCCGGTGGATAGTGAATACAACAGTTTGTGTAAGTGTCTTAGGCGGAAGATTGCGAAGTGCTTACGCCAGGACCGTGAGGCTTGGTGGTCAGAAGCATGAGTAGGATGGAAGCAGCAGCTGCATTCGGCAATGGTTGGAATCTGTCCGAGCCCCTAGCAGTAACAAGCCTGGTGTCAGTGATACAATCTGTGAAGTAGGTGGCACGTCGATAAACAGTCTTCAAAGGCGTCTGGAATGCTGGGCGGAGCACTTCGAAAAGCAGTTTAGTTGGCCTGCCATTGTCAAATTCAGTGTGTCGTGTTCCATGGCCAGTTAACACTGACCCACCTGACAAAGCGGGGGTCCATAAGGAACTCGAAGTTCTGGAACACCACAAGGCACTCAGTCCAGACAACTTACTCCTGGTGTCTTTTTAAGGACGGAGGAATGACTAATCAGGGAACTGACTAGGTTGTTTGAGAAGATATGGGAGATTGAGAGTGTTGTATCACTTTGGAATGAGGCCATCATTATGTCCATCTTCAAAAGGATCTCCGTATTGTATGTGACAGTCATCGGGGTATTAGTCTGTTACCAGTTAGGTAGGAAATATTGGCTGCTATCATGCTTTGCAAAACGTGTGAGTAAGTGATTCGCACGAAGTAGGCCGGGTTTCGTTCAGGTCGTCGGATTGGTCATGTGTTTATCTTCCGTCAGATACTTGAACGTCGCCACACGTATTGCAGGCCAACCATCGTTGTGTTTTTTGACATTAAGGCTGCCTTCAATTCGTTTGACAGAGCTGTGCTCTGGAATTGTCTGTTAGCGGGGGATTTTCCTGAGAATTTTATTAACATCCTGAAACCCCTGTGTTGAAATACTTCAAGTAGAGTGAGGGCATACAGCCACCTATCTCCACCGTTCCAAACCAGCAACGGAGTTGGGCAGGGTTGTCTGATTTCTCCATTCCTCTATAACTTTGCCATTGTTGACATTCTTGAGACAGCTTTGAAGGAGGTGGGTGATAGTGGTGTATATCTACTACCCGGAGAACGGCGATTCGAATCCTGGCTTCTCCAAGCTGAGATTGTGCGATGAATCTGTGTTCGATCATCGTTGTCTCCGTAGACTGCTCGTATCTGGTGGCAACACCATCTGAGTAATTCTGAGGCACAACAGTGTGTTTGGGAATGATGGAGATCGTCTTTCAGTAAGTGAAGTCATTTGGAAACACCGGAATCGGTGACTTGGATATGTGTTATGCAGCCATCTTAACGGCTCCCATGCCGTTCATTGTTTGCTAGCCCGTGGACTGGATGGAAGAAGCGGAAGGGTTATCAGTGTATGACATGGATCCGTGATATGAAGGATAGTTATATCGGCTTAGCATCTATTGGTGCATCACGACTCCCTGAATGGGGTCCGGGAAATCACGCAACTCAGTGCTTTGAGACCTTATCAAATATCGTTCAGAATCAAAACTAGTTGTGGTCATGCTGTAGCTTCTTTTTGTCTTTTGCTGCTGAAAAATAATGCGTGATTTTTGAATGTATCTGGATTGCCTTTCTAACC